CCCGCGCGGCCCGCGTCAGGCTCAGGTCCTTCATGACCTCCTCGAAGGCCGCAGTCTCCTCCGCCTGCTTCTGGTTATGCAGCGCGATCTTCTCGCTGAATTTCCGCGGATTGTTCGAAGTCGCCATCTTCTCGCCGCCGCCTCCTCCTCCTCCTCCTCCTCCTCCTCCTCCACCTCCTCGCCCCCCCCCAACTCGCACGCGCCACTGCGCAGGCGCCGACCGGGCCCACGGTCGGCAAGCAATGCGCAGGCGCGAGCGCGGCAGGGCGCAAGACGCAGGCTTACGGGAGCGGAGCCTGGCGCGGGGGCGAAAGCGCATGCGCGCACCTGGGCAGTGTTTTGGGAAGCCGCAGGAGGGACGAGGAGGGGCGGGGAGGAGCGGAAGGGGCGTACCTACGAAACCTCGCGCGACCCGCTGGACAGCGGCTATCTGCCGGTGAGTCCTGTGCGGTTCGCGAGGAGCTTGAGCGGCGGGAGACCTCGAGGGGATACCATAGCCGAGATCCGACGACGGTGCCGGCCGCTGATGTTTGCATTCGCTGGACTCCAGCAGGGGGATTTACGGAGCGCCTGCCACATACTGGGGCAAAGGCAGGAGCAAGTAGACGTGGTCCCTGCGCTAGTGGCTTGCACAGCAGAGGACGGGAGCAGACAGGAGATGACCCAGAGATCTGTAGGAGGCTGGGCATGCAGCTCATAGGCAGAGCTGGCTTGGCACCCAGCCTCTGGGGTTCTCACCCAATAACACGTGCGCGCACGCCCACATGCAACACACACACACACACACACATGCACGCACGCTCCCAGTAATAATAAAGTATCAGAGGGAAATGGACTTGCTGTACCTTCTAAGATCAATGGCAGCGCTGGGTGCCATGGCACAGTGTGGTGGAGGCAGGGGTCAGGAGTTCAGGCCATCCTTAGTTACATAGTGAGTTCCAAGCTAGCCTGTGATACATGAGACCCGGTTTCCAAAAAAGCAAAACGTAGGGGCTAGAGAGATGGCTCAGCTGTTAGGAGTGCTTGCTCTTCCTCCAAAGGACCCGGGTTGGGCAGCTTGTAACTGCCTGTAACTCCAGCTGCAGGGAATCTGATGCCCTCTTCTGGCCTCTGGGAGCATCCACTCACAGGTGGCATATATGCACATAAATAATTTTTTAATCAAAAAATATAGAGCTGGAGCTAGGGAGATGGCCTAGCAGTTAAGAGCACGGTCTGCTCTTGCAGAGGACCTGGGTTTGAATCCCAGCATCCACTTGGAGGCTAACAACCAGTTCCAGGGGATCCAACACCCTCTTCCGACCTCCTTGGGCATTGTACGACATAAGTGCACTTGTATACATGCAGGCAATACAGTCCTACACATAAAAATAATAAAATTTGGGGGGAGTCTTTTTTGAGACACGGTATCCCTGTAGTCCCAGCTGGCCTAGAACTCAAGATGTAGACCAAGCTGGCCTTGAACTCATAGAGATCTGCCTACCTCTGCCTCCCGAGTGCTGGAAATAAAGATGTGCACCACCACACCCAGCATATTTTTTTTTTAATATAGGTAGGACTGGGCAGATCGTTCAGTAGGTAAGAGCATTTGCTGCACAAGATGAAGACCTGAATTCAAGTTCCGGGCACCCACATAAAAGCCAGGCATGGCCATGCATGCCTGTGACCTTAGTGTTGGGGGGGGATGACACAGGAGTATCCTGGGAGCTCAGGGTAGCCAAAAAGTTTAGCTCTAAGTTCAGAGACACATAGGCATACACACAAACAATAATAATGCTAAGACGTATGACCTATGGTGGCACACAGGTCAAGAGGCTGAAACAGGAAGGCATGCCTCTGTGTGAGCCACATGCCTGGTTTGTTTTTTTTGTTTTTGTTTTTTGGTCTTTTTTGAGACAGGATCTCTCTGTAGCCCCAGCTGTCCTGGAACTCACTGTGTAGACCAGGCTGGCCTTGAACTCACAGAGATCCTCTTGCCTCTGCCTTCTGAGTGCTGGGATTAAAGGCGTGTACCACCACACCCACCCTCAGTTTTGTTTTTTTTTAAAGTCTAACGTAGCCCAGACTGGCCTTAAATTGTGGTGATCCTTCTGTCTTAGCTGCTTCTTCCTTTTTTTTTTTTTTTTTTTTTTTTTTTTTTTTTTTTTTTAAAAAAAAAAAACCTGTAGCCCCTGCTGGCCTGGAACTCACTATATATACCAGGCTGGCCTTTAACTCACAATGATCTGCCTGCCTCTGCCTCCAGAGTGCTGGGATTAAAGGCGTGTGCCACCACGCCCGGCACTTATTTTTTAATTTTATGTGTATGAGTACTTTGCCTGCATGTGTGTAAGTGTATCGTGTGCATATAGTGCCTTTGGAGGCCAGAAGAGGATGTTGGATTCCCTGGACGTGGAGTTACAGTAGGTTGTTAGCCACCAGGTGGGTGCTGGGAACTGGACCTGGATCCTCTGCAAGAGCAGCCAGTGCTCTTAACTTACGAGCCATCTCTCCAAGCCCCAGCTTCTTGAGTGTTTGAATGACAGCTGTGAGGTACCACACCCAGCCTTTCTTCCTGATTTATTTTGTCTTTTAAGGCAGGGTCTTAAGCTGGACCTGGTGGCTCATGGCTTTAATTTCAGCACTTCGGAGGCAGAGTCAGGTAGATCTCTGTGAGCTCCAGGCCAGCCTGGTCTACATAGTGAGAGGGGTGACAGGGAGGCCCTGTCTCAATATGACCAAAGAAGAAGAAGAAGAAGAGGAGGAGGAGGAGGAGAAGGATGAGGAAGAGGAGGAAGAGGTCTTATGTAGCCCAGGCTGGCCTCGAATTCCCTATGTAGTTACGAACGTCCTTGAACTCCTGATCCTGCTGCCTCAGCCTCCCAGTGCTGGGATGACAGGTATGTACCATCATCCAGCTAATTGGTTTTTTTGTGTTTTTTTAATTTTTATTTATTTTATTTATTTATTTATTTATTTATTTATTTATTTAAGGAAGAGGTCTTATGTAGCCCAGGCTGGCCTCGAATTCCCTATGTAGTTACGAACGTCCTTGAACTCCTGATCCTGCTGCCTCAGCCTCCCAGTGCTGGGATGACAGGTATGTACCATCATCCAGCTAATTGGTTTTTTTGTGTTTTTTTAATTTTTATTTATTTTATTTATTTATTTATTTATTTATTTATTTATTTAATTTTTTGTCTTTGAGACTATTGCCTGCATGTATGTAAGTGTACCCATGTTGTGCAATGCAAGTGGAGATAAGAAGAGGGCATCAAATCCCCTGGAACTGGAGGTATGGGTGACTGTTAGCTGCCATGTGGGTGCTGGGCCCAGGAAAACTTTTTTATTTTCTGGTCTTTTTGAGACAGGGTTTCCTTGTAGCCCCAGCTGTCCTGGAACTCACTATGTAGACCAGGCTGGCCTTGAACTCACAGAGATCTGCCTGCCTCTGCCTCCCAAGTGCTGGGATTAAAGGCATGAGCCACTACGCCTGGCTTAAAAACTTTTTTTATGTGCATGAGTACTATGCCTGCATGTATGTAAGTGGGTGTCATGCAGCACCTGAGGAGGACAGAAGAGGGCATCAGATCCCCTGGAACTGGAGTTACCAATGATTGTTAGCCTCCATGTGGGTACTGGGATATGAAACTAGGTCCTCTGCAAGAGTGCTCTTAACTACTGAGCAAGAAGCCAGCGTTCTTAACCACTGAGCCATCTCTCCAGCCCCTCTTTGTGTTTTTATTGAGATAGGGTCTCATTATGTAGCCAAGCTGGCCTGGAAGTCATGGTGATCTCCAGACTCTCAAGTGCTGGGATGATAGACATGGGTCATCACTGTTTTGAGCAATTTCATAGACTCCTACCTCAAAAAATAAAATCAACTTTTATTTATTGTATGTGTGTGACCACATGTGCCTGCCACAGGGAACACATGGAGGTCAGAGGACAATTTGTGGGAGTCTCTTTCTACCACGTAGGTCCTGGGATCAAACTTAGGTTGATCAATCACCTTCACCATCTCGCCAGCCCTGCGTTTTACCATTTTAACCCAATAACCATCTCCCCTCTCTACCCTTTTAGGGAAGCTGCCCTGCCTGGACACTCCTTCGTTCAGAGGACAGCCTGACCCCCTGCTCCTTCCTAGAACTCCCTTCCCTAAGAGGAAGGTTTGGCCAATCAGCACAGCCTGGGGTTCTGTCCCTCACCATTGGCTCAGGCAGTCATGTGATCCAATTCTGGGTTAGTTGGCCTATGGGAAACAAGACCTCCCTGACTGTGTGTGTTTGGAAGTATCTTTCTCAATCACTCTCCACCTTATTTTTTGAGATAATCACTGAGATGACTGACCAGCAAGTCCCAGGAATCCTCCTGTTTCCACTTCCCCAGGTGTAAACCCCCATGCCCAACTTTTTTCGTGGGTGCTGGGGATTTGAACTCAAGTCCTCATTATTGCAAAGCTAGCACTTTTACTAACTAAACTATTGTCCCAGCTCTCAACCTCTCTTTGTTTGGGCACTTCATTTCAAGATTTACCTAAGTCTGCAACCTTTAAACCTGTGATCCTGGTGGCGCACGCCTTTAATCCTGGCACTTGGGAAGATCTCTGTAAATTCAAGGCCAGCCTGGTCTACGTAGTGAATTCCAGGCCAGCTGGAGCTAGAGGGAGACCCTGTCTCAAAAAAACAAAACCAAACCCTGTGATCCTAGCACTCGGGAGCCTGAGGCAAGAAGATTACCATGAATTGGAGGCCAATCTGGGCTGTGGAGCAAGACCCTGCTTCAAAAAACAAAATCAAGCCAAGCATGGCACATGTTTTAATCCCAGCACGCCAGTGGCAGTAACAGGTGGATCTCTGTGGTCTACATAGCGAGTTCCAGGCCAGCTGGGGCTGTAGTGAGACCCAGTCTCAAAACAAAACAACAAAAATAAACCCAGAAAATCAAGTATACAGTTTCACTGTTTGCCATGTGAAACAGGTGAACCTGCACAGAGAAAAGCAGAGCCCCTGTTGTGCCTGAAGCAAGAGCTGGGCCTTTTCGGGTCTCAGAGGCCAGTATCCACCTTTGACACAGTCTCTCTGAGCTCTGCCTTCAGCAGAGGGGAGCTGGGGCGTGCTTCAGGGTGCCTGCTGGTTATTCCTGCTACCATGAGATGATAGTGGGCACAGAGAAACAACAGGAACTGG